AAAAAAAAAAAAAAAAAAGTCAGCAGAAATATTTGCTTCTTGGCCAAAATGACATATGACATACAGAACACTGTTTCCTGGATTTTTATTTGGCCAATTACCAAACTTAATAAGTTAGTAGCAAGATAATTACTAAGTATATTTAGATGATTTGAAAAGCATGGATAAGCAATGCAGCAATTCATTATGCTGAAAAATTTATTGTTTCAACAAGCTGCTTTTAAAATCAAGTTGTAATGCCTTGTCTTCTTCAGACAGTTACTTAAAACCACTTCAAATACAGTAGGAGTAATCACACTGGAGGAAAACTTGGCTAAACATGCAGAAATATGGCACCCGAGATATGAACTGATATGCTACCAAGATAAATTGTGTTAGTACAAAGAGACATTGGAAGAGCAAGCCTATTTAATATATGATTTCATTTTGATTAGTTTCTGAACATATACGACATAGTTCAATAAGAAGCTTGTTTCTACTCCTTAAATCCTTTGTCACATAGAATTATTGCAAGCTATCAAACTTTCATTTCTAAGTTAGATTATAAATGGAATAAAAATGTGCTTTATAGCTCATCTTTCATCTATCAAATAAGCTTTAATATTTATTCAATTTTTTATTAACCTCTTCTTCATATGATCTTAAGTCAGCTAAATTTAAGTTAACTGAATTAAAATTGTATCTAAAATTAGGAAATTACATAGAACTTTCTCTAATGTGCAAGCACCATTTTTTTTTTTAGGTCAAGTAGCTTTATGAATATACTACCAGTTTCAGTGTTTTATCATTAAATTTGTCTTCATGTGAACAAACATTGAACATTGTGTGACATATAATTAACCATGAAACCAAGAAGTAGCAATAATCTAACGATAGTCATCTTTTTGTTGGAGGCTTGTCTTAACCCATCAGCAGAGAACATGTGTGGTCACAAAATACCACATTAATACATTCTTTCACAGTCAGAGTAGGCTGTACCTAGCTTGCCAAATTCCAACTCAGGTAGCTCCATTTTTCCAGCCCACATTCCTGCTGCTTTTGCAATTGGGTGAATTATTTTCACTTCCTCTCTTTTAAAGAGTTTCTGGCTCACATAGGTTATCAGGTTTCCATCCAGTGGCTGCTGCATTTCCACAGTGAGTGAATGATCTCTCCAAGGTACTTTGGGATGAAAGTGAGTGGATAAATGTGAAGAATTATATTTTTATTTCTTCTCTTTGGAGGGATTATTCTATAACTTTTATGTTTAGCTTGGAGGGCTCTTTTGATTTGATTTCTCTTCTGAATAAGCGAAACAGCCACCCAGATGGCAAGCACTTCAGATTTCAGCATAGTGTAATTTGATTTGGAAGTTCAATGAAACTCACTTGGAAATGTCCCTCCAGTAATATTTCCCCTCTTAGAAATTTCACTTTTAAATTCTTGGCTTCATGCAGAAACAAACTCCTAGGGAGACTGAGTAGTGAGTGGCAAGGTGGTCATAGAAATTATTATTAACTCTTTAAATGAAATGTTAAAAAATAATTTGTCTTCTAATATTCTCAGGATTTCACTATAGAAGCAGTATATGCTGTGTAATTTTTAATTTCCTATTCCCTTTTTGTGATTCTTAGGAACAATATTCCAAAATTAATTTTTCATTTGTTTAGGAACCTCAGTGAGAATTACATTTAGTATTTATAGGAGACTTAGTCTTTGCAAGATACTATATGGCACAAGAAAGATAAGAAAGTCTCTTTTTTTTCAAACATAGTACAATCTTTATGAAGAAAATTCACTAACAACTTTAGAAAAAGATGGTATGAGTCTATCAGATATATAAATTTTAACATATATTTTGTCAATTGCATTGGAATTTCTTGCATTTATGCACCTGGCATCCCCCAAAAGTGTTATTTCTAAGGTTTTGACTTTTACTAAGTCTAACCTGACTTAGGCAACCCTTTTCCCATATTTAAAGTCTTCCTTTTTTTAATACTCTGTTTATATACACACACACACACACACCCCCCCACCCCGAGAGAGAGAGAGAGAGAGAGAGAGAGAGAGAGAGAATTGGCAGAGAAACTCAAAATATTTCAAGTAATATTTTTCTTTAATATTTATTTTTCTCAAATATTGCACATCTTTATTCAAGCCCCTGAAGAACTTAATTGCTATATCATTCTCATTTTATAGCTGTGTCAAATTTTGAAGCTGAAGTAAGTCAAACTTTTCCCGTTAATTAGAGTTAACATGAGGTGTTTGCTATATAATACATAGGTTTTAAAAAGCTTTACTTTTCTACACCTGAGAACCAGATGTGGGATAGGGGAGTGTAGGGAATAGAATGGAAGACCCATCAAAATAAACTGTCTCGAATATGTTCAGGGAACTTAGATTCTCAAGAATACACAGTAGCATCTATATCAACTCTAAATCAAGTATAATATGGTTTAATCATCAGGAGAGAGTTTTAAGTTTTAATGGTTTATTTAGAATGTGACGTCTCTACATCTTATTTTGTCCTTTCTCATTTTCTGCAAAGAAGATGACCTAATATTAGCATATAACTGTAAACATTATAAATGTGATAATAGAACCTAGCACATCTGCACCGTATGCCCATCAGAACCTCTCAACACTGAGGGAAGAAAATCATTATCGTTAGCACCTATGTTAGTGTTGGGGACTGCTCTTTTTAATTGCATGCTTAGGAGCTCATTCATCAGTTTTTATTGTCACAGTGCTGAAATAGTTTGCCAAGTTTGCAAGTCTTAACCACAAATAGTAGGAAAATATTACTCAGTTGTGTCTTAAGTGAGATTGTTTGGCATTTTGTCTAATTAAATTGAATCGAATTAAACTCCAGATCCAACATTATCAACTCATGCCATTATTTCAACATGTACATTCAGTGATAGTTTGAGCGAGTCAACTTCTATAGTTTGCATTCTAGATTAACAGAAATTTAGATAAATACATTTAAGTTCTCAAAAGAGATGACTTTCTGCTGAATTCTACTAATAACAGAGAAAGATACCATAAAGAATATTAAAAGTTCTCTAAAGTCACAAAGTAATTGAAACATGAAGAGTTAACATATATATTAAAATAGTTTCGTTTTCTCTGGCAAAATTTTTATAAAGTCTTCATATAATTGCATTTTATAAGCATCAAATGACAGCAAATATGTGGGATATTAAATGTCAATTTGTTTTCTCAGAGTGAGATACACATACTTTATAGCATCTGCACTTATTTTAGAGTCAAATTGCTCAGGTTAACATGGCTTGAAATTTAATATCATTGCTTCGAGCACCAGAAAATAGATATGACAAGGCATAGTATATAAAGAAATGCTGAAAGAATGTAACTGAAGTTGAAAAATACGTTTTAGAATCATTATGACTACCACCTGATGTCTGTGGCAATGATAATTACCAATTAAAGTGGAGATGAAGGAGGAGCTGGGGTCAAAAGGACATCTGCCCCTTCCTCTCTCAGATCTGGGTGATTCCAGGTGAAACAGAGGATCCTTGAAAGAAAACCAGAAAAATCATTATGAACATGTCTCCTCTAATAATCATTTAATTGCTTAGGTAAAACATATTAAACTTTGATTATTTATAAAGCATGTATTCTAAATAGGGCACCAGTAGCATCAATTTATTTAGAGACAAACTGGGTTTTATAAATAAGCACATGGGTTTTACAGGCCCATATGAGTTCTCTCACGCCTCTGAAAAAGTATGCAGGTGATGAAAGAAAATAGCACTTTTTAAATCGTTTTATGAGACTGTATTATTTATTCTGAGATGTGTCAATTAAATATTTGAAAGGAATTGAAACTTGTTGGAAAAAGGTTAATGAAAAGGAGGTTCAGTGTTAAAAATGATAATGGGCTTTTATTAAGCATATCAAGAATTCTGTTGTTGATTTTTTTAATAACTTAGACTTTTATTTTTGATATAAGGGGTACATGTGCAGGTTTGTTATATGGCCTTATTGTGTGATGCTGAAGTTTGGGGTATAAATTATCCCATTAGCCAAGTAGCGAGCATAGTATCCAATAGGTAGTTTGTCAGCCCTATGTCTCGTCCTCTTATAGGAGTCTCCAGTCTCTATTATTGCCATCTTTATGTCTGTGTGTACCCAATAGTTAGCTCTCACTTACAAGTGAGAACATGCAGCATTTGGTTTGCTGTTCCTGCCCTAATTCACTTAGGATAATGACCTCTACCTACATCGGTTTTGCTGAAATGGACATGATTTCATTATTTTTTATGGCTTTGTAGTATTCCATGGTGTATAAATACCACATTTTCTTTATCCAATTTAGCATTAATGGGCACTTAGGTTGAATTTATGTCTTCACTATTGTGAATAATTCTGCAATGAACATAAGAGTGAGTTAGTAGAGGAGCTCAAAATATTTCAAACACACATTGTCTTTTTGATAGAGTGATTCATTTTCCTTTGGATATTTACCCAGTAATCGGGATTGCAGGTCAAATGGTAATTCTGTTTTATTTGGGAAATCTCTAAACTTCTTTCCACAGTGGTTGAACTAATTTATACTGCTTCTAAGAGTGTATAAGCTTTCTCTTTTCTCCACAGCCTCTCTGGCATCTGTTATTTTTGACTTTTTAATAATAGCCACCCTGACTGGTGTGAGATGATATCTCATTGTGGTTTTGATTTTCATTTCCATGATGATTAGTGATATGGAGCATTTTTTCTATGTTTGTTGGCCTCCTGCATGTCTTCTTTTGAGAGGTACCTGTTTATATCCTTCATCCACTCTTTAATGGCGTTATCGTGATTAAAGCCCTCAACAAACTAGGCATTGAAGGAACATTTGTCAAAATAATGAGTCATATATGACAAACTCACAAACATCATACTGAATGGACAAAAGCTGGAAGCATTCCCCTTAAGAACAAGAAAAAGACAAGGATGCTTACTCTCACCACTCCTATTTAGCATAGCACTGGAAGTCTTAGCAATAGCAATCAAGCATCAAAACAGAAAAAGAAGTCAAACAATCTCTCTTCACTGACTGATTCTATACCTAGAAAATCCTAACGACTCTGCTGAAAGGCTCCTAGAACAGATAGATGATTTCAATAAAGTTTCAAGACACAAAATCGACGTCTAAAAATCAGCAAAATTTCTCTACACGTATAGCATTCAAGCAGAGAGCCAAATTAAGAAAACAATCTAATTTAAAATACCCACACACAATAAAACCAGAATATCTAGAAATACATCTAACCAAGGAGGTGAAAAATCTCTACAAGGTGAAAGATCTCTGTAAGGAGACACTGCTGCAGAAAATCATAGATGATACAAACAAATGGAAAAACATTCCATTCAGATGGATTGGAAGTATCAATATGGTTAATATGGCCATATTGCCCAAAGCAATCTACAGATTCATTGCTATCCCTATCAAACTATCAACATCATTTTTCACAGAATTAGAAGAAAACTATTCTAAAATTCATATGAAACCAAAAAAGAGCCTGAATAGCCAAAGTAATGCTAAGCAAACAACAACAACAAAGAAAAGCTGGAGGCATCACATTATGTAACTTCAAACTATAGTACAAGACTACAGTAACTATAACAGCATGGTATTGGTACAAAAGCAGACACATAGACCAATGGAATGACATAGAAAACCAAGAAATAAAGCTGCATATCTACAGCCATCTGATCTCTGATAAAGTTGACAAAAATAAGCAATGAGGAAAGGACTCCCTGTTTAATAAATGGCACTGGGATTGCTGGCTAGCCATATGCAGAAGAATGAAATTGGGCCCCTACCTTTCACCATATACAAAAATTCACTCAATATGGATTAAAGATTTAAATGTAAGACCTCTAACTATAAGAATCCTAGAAGAAAACCTAGGAAATACTCTTCTTGATATTAGCCTTGGCAAAGAGTTTTTGACTTAGTCCTCAAAAGCAATTGCAACAAAAGCAAAAACTGACAAGTGGCACCTAGTTAAAGAGTTTCTGCACAGCGGGAACTATCAACAGAGTGAACAGATAACCTACAGAATGCGAGAAAATATTTGCCAGCTATCATCCAACAAAAGTTTAATATCCAATGTGTATAAGGAACTTAAAAAGTGTTATTGTTTTTTTAGTAGTTTGGAAAAGAATAACAAAACTTACTCTCAATAAGTTGGAATATTTATTTTCATTTTTATTCTTCATCACATAGTATTTGTATAAACATTCAATGTTTAATAATTAATAGAGTAATTAATGCATAAGTACTGTAAATATTTATCAACAAAGGCCATATGTACACTATTTCAATTTTAATATAAGGCTTCACACAGATAAGACAATGAAAATTAATATTTTCATGAAAAACTACTCTATTGGCTCCTATTTCAAGCATATAACCATAGAACTTGTCCCTTAATGTTTCCAGGTTTCAAAATTCTTATAAAAGGTTGTTTTGTATAATTAATCTCCATTAAGTGTGCTGTAAGTGGCTTGAGTAAAAAAAGTAGTTTAGAAAAGTGACAATAAAAGTCACTTTTGACAATATTTCAATTTTGATAATATTGAAAAACCTG